AGTCTGGGAAGTGGAGTCTGGGATGTTTCTTCAGCCACTTCCCAGGGTCCACCCAGGCACACCCCTGGGCAGCTCGCCACGTATTTGCTTGGAGAACTGAGCTCCCAAGGCTGCGCCGCTGCGGAATCTCAGGGTCTGATCCTGACAATCACTGTGGGGGAGACTCAGACCCTCGCTTCCCAAACTGATTATCCTATCGCTCCCGTTTCAGAAAACACAACAAAAAACCTCAGCACCCCCTGCAACGAACAGCTCTCCTCCTAACGCCCCCGATGTAGGCTAACGTGGAGGGGTCTGTTTTTGCTGCCCTCCCCCTGCCCCCAATGTTCCCCTAAAGAGCCTAACTCTGGGGAACAGTTTTGGATGTTCCCCACTGGCCTGACAGGGAGGAGTCCTGGGGGTACAGTGGTTAGGCGTTGGGCTCACAGTCAGCGGTTCAAAACCACCAGATGCTCCTCAGGAGATGAGGGTTCTGTTCCCGTCAAGACTTAGGGCCTCGGAAACCCACGAACCCATGGGGGCAGGTCCACCGTGTCTTATGGGGCTGCTGGGTGTCGGCACCCACTCGATGGCCCTGAGTTTGGTCGATAAGGAAACAGGCCTGGAAGGCAAAGGGCTTGGGGGGGCTCTGATGCATGGACCCCGATGCCATCCGGGGTACAGCTCCCTGGGGGGTGGCTTGGGAAAAACAGCTTTGAAACCCTAACCCCTGGAGATGCTGGATGGGGGCCCCAAATTTATGTGGGCCGTGTCCCCCGGCCCCCCCACCCTTGCATCCCCAAGCCTTCCCTGCGCTGAGGCCTCCCTCCGCCCGCCCTGGGGCCTCACCTGCTACTGGCGGGGCGATGAGGATGGAGATGCTTTCCAGGACCGTGAAGAGGCCCAAGGCGCTGGAGAAGCGGTCCGTGGGCACAATGTCCATGAGCACCTGGAAGAGCAGGGCGCCGATGCCGCTCATGGACACGCTGTAGACCAGGCAGTAGCCCACTAGCACGCCGAAGTCGGCCGAGGCCACGCACACCAGGTTGGTGAGCCCGTTGAGCAGCACGGCCAGGATGAACAGGTGGGTGCGGTGGGCGGCCAGGCTGCGGCGGCCGGCCACCAGTCC